GTCAAAGCTTTTGAGTTCAGAAATACAAACCAACTCTTAAAGCAATCAAACATACCGTTATACACCACAACACACTTAGGCAATCGCTTCAACACACACAAGTGATTTAAATTCTCGGAAACTGGCCGATTTCTTCTTGACTGATTTGCAGATCCACATCATACTACTTACTCGTACGCCATGCGACACTTCAACGGCAGGCCGGACAACCCAATCCGTCAATTCAGCCTCGACGACGACGACGACGACGACAAGGATGATGAGCCACCCGCAGCATTCAGACCGTCATTATTGAGGGAAGACAGCAATGGAGAGACCAACCAGGACGTAGACGGCGGAAAGCAAGAAGGAGAAGAAGAAGGAGAAGAAGAAGACGACTACATGAACATGACATTCACCGACGTCGCCCCCGCCCAGCCCGAAACCTCCCTCCAGCGGCGCGAGCGCCTCCGCAGGGAAGGCCTGCAGCGCGGCCGCGTGCCCTCCAAGGCGGAGCTGGCGGCGCAGGAGCGCCAGAGGCGCGAGGAGGGCCTCGCGCGCCCCCTCATCCCCTCCGGCGCGGCGGCGGCGGCGGCCAAGAAGTCCAAGGGCCTGGCCATGATGGCGAAGATGGGGTTCAGGCCGGGCTCCGCGCTGGGGAGCGGCGGCGGCCCGGCGGCGAGGAGCGAGCCGCTCCGCATCGAGGTCAAGGAGGACAGGGGCGGGATCGGGGCCGACGCCGAGAGGAAGAGGAAGGTGCAGGAGGCGGCGGGCGCGGCGGGGCTGGCGAAGAGGGCGAGGGTGGAGGAGGTCGGGGATTATAGGGAGAGGATGGCGAGGGAGAGGGAGGCGGCGAGGAAGGAGAAGCTTGTCTTTGCGGCGCAGAAGATTGCTGAGATGATGGATGAGGAGAGCGGTGGTGGTGATGGTGGTGATGTGCTTGTTGATGAAGGCGCTGCTGAGCAGGATGGGGACGGGGACGGAGACGGGGAGGAGAAGAGGAAGAAGAAGAAGAATAAGAAGAAGAAGAAGGGTGGAAAGACACCCGCGTCGCGCCCGCTCAAGTCCGTCCCAGTGCTCTACCGGGGCCTGGTCCGCCAGCGGGAGGAGAAGGAGCGGGACCGCAGGATGCGGTACGACCTCGAGCAGAGCAGCGGCGGGCTGTCGGCGAAGCTGCCGACCTACGAGGAGGACGACAGCGTTCTGGATAATGATGACAGGATCGCGCTGGGGAGGACGGAGAAGAGGACGGTCTACATGCCGGCGGATGACCTCGATGAGGAGGACCCGGAGCTGGACGAGTTCATGGGGCTGGACGCCGGTGAGAGGCTGGAGAGGATTGTCAAGTACCTGCGCGGGAAGTACCGCTATTGCTTCTGGTGCAAGTGTGCTTATCCTGATGAGGAGATGGAGGGCTGTCCGGGATTGACGGAGGAGGATCACGATTGATGACACCCGAGAAAGGTGAGGGGTTGGCAATGACCGAGACAATAGACCAGAGAAGTATTCACAGTGGCTGTTTAAGCCAAGGCACGATGGACATCGGCTCGCTTCAGCAACTGGAAGAACATAAGACAATATATTCACTAAGCGTTTGACAGTGAAGTCTGGAGAGATATAAGGTGTATCTCTTCTTCATGGACTAGATCCTTAACTCCGTGCCCTGTGGGCAACTAAAACTACCTATGCTGTACATCCGGCGCTGTCCATGAACATATTCCAAGCCATCATCCTCATGTATGCAGTATGCTGCGCTCGTTTATATGCGCCAACACGGGTATCTGTTATCATTTACACTTCTTCTGTGCGGCACACCTCACGCATCTGCTCTTAAGCGTCTATGCCTTGTGGGTGCGCTTCGCTTGTGGTACAATGGGTCCGACCTGTTCGGTATCGATGTCGCTCTCGCTTCGCTTTCTCTTTGAGCTTCCCTTTCCGGTGCCGTGTAATGCCTCCTGGGAGATCTCATCCTCGACGTACTCCTCAGTCTCATCATCGTACTCGAGGTCGTCATCATCGATCTCGCCATCCTCCTCCTCCTCTTCGAATTCCTCGTCCTCATAGTAGTACCGCGCGTCCGGTACGTCGTCGTCATCGCTCTCGCTCTCGCTGTCACTCTCGTCCATATTCAAGGCCCCGAGAAGTGGTACGTCGATCTTTGCCATCTGGGACTTGATCATCTGGTCCGCGACGGCAAAGAGTTGATGGTCCTTTTCCGGGATGACCTCCTTCTCCACGTCGAATGCCAGCTCCTCCTTGTCCAAGATCGACTCGTCCCTTATACCGTTGTTGGGCGACAGCGCCGCTTCGGGGATGCCAAGCACCCACTTGCGGATCGTCTCTCCCTTCGGTACTCGCCTTGCGGCGGAAACGCTATTCTTCTCGCGCAGGCCGCGTCGGAAGGTTCGCTTTTGTCGTCTCCTCCGCCGGCCGATGCGGTCCCGGATATACCAGGCCACCACCAGCATCGCAGCCTGCATCATCTCCTGGCACTTCTGGCGGTGGGTGTTTGCCCATGTCTGGCAGCGCTGCTGCTGGAAGTTGAGGATAGCCTGGCAGCGCTGCTGATAGTAGGCTGCCATGCGGGACACCATCTGGACATATTTGGGATCGACAGAGGCTGTGGGATCGCCTCCGGTGTTGAAGAGGTTGAAGTTGAGGTGATTTGGGGAAGATGGTATCTGTTGTGATTGCGGTAGTTGTGATGAAGCTGGTGATGGTACTTTGGTGTCTGCATTGGATGTGTTGGCAGATGGGGTGGGTGAATGTGCGTCGGGTTGTTGCTGTTGTGGTGATGATGTCCTCTGTGGTTGCTGTTGTGATTGCTGCTGCTGCTGCTGCTGCTGTTGTTGTTTTCGTGCCTGTTGTATCGCCTCCTGCTTCATCTTCTGTAGCAGCAGCTGCTGTTGTTGCTGCTCGAGGAGGTGCTTCTCCAGAGGGGTGGGTTCCTTCTTGGCTGCATGTGCCTCCATCTGCATGGCCAATTGCTTGTATAGTAAAGGGTTCGCAAATCCGTGAGCTAGGCCTGGGACAGTCTTTGGGTTCTGAGTCGGATATTGGTTGAAGAGTTGTTTATGATCAGGCGGAGGTGAGACGGGGAGTTGGGAGGTCAGGTTCATCATAATGGACATAGTAGATGCGTCCATCACTGCTGATTTTGGGGGGGTGCTGACAGAAAAGGAGATAGTCGGATTGACGGTGGCGTGATAATCAGCGTTTCTCGGGCCACTGCGCCGGTTGAATTTGTGATTGGCTTTGGTAAGCGATTCCTCCTGGGATCCAGCAGTACTTATGCTTATATGTGAGTGAGACAAATATGAGAAGTACTTAGGTACGGAGGTGATAGGTAGACAGGTATGTGGAAGGCGAAAGTAGATAGATATCAAGAGGGAGGGGAGACGAGACTTCTTGCGCCCCGTAGAGAGTGGTGGAGTGTAGGGATGGCAGCTTAAATACAAGCAGTATAAACAAAGCAAGAGCTGAAGAGATAAAACATCAGATGCGCTTGCATCCTCCGCAGGCTGACTGCCTGACATTGGGGCCGGCTGGCCGGTAGCGAAATAGGTAGGGCGGACTGTCCTTGGAGGCCATGTAGAAAGTCTGCAGATTACTAGTAGGGATGGATCGGTTTGGACCACGATGGGCTGGTTTTCCCACCTAGGACCCATGAGATCTTCGGGGCAACAGCGGCAACAAGGACAACAGATCGGGGTGAGCCCCGAGGATCGAGGGAGCCATTAGCGGGCTAGCAACAAATGTCTGTTGGTCTAAACAGCTGGCGACCCCCGCTGGGCAAACGAAAGAGCGATGGTCGAGGACGGGGAGAGTCTTTCGACTATGTCGTGGGTGTTAGAGAGGCCTAAGCAAAGAGCGGGCTTAGCTGATAAATATCGAACGAGACGTGGTGAAACAAAAGCGGGCATCGGTCGATGCCGACTCGAGTGTTGCGCCCTGCGCCCGTTCCTGGCCACTCACTGTCTCCACACTCTACCTAGGTAGTGACAATCAAGACAGTCCGGCACGGTCTGGCTTGCCAGGGTCTGCGTCCAGGCCACACTGACAGAGGCATCCCCGGTCTGGCCAGTCTGCCCCGGCAGCTGCCCGGTTCGATCCCAGAGGTCCACTGCATCTTGCCGTCCACCCCCTCGAGTGGACTGATTCGCAGGACCCTCATCCCTGATTTGTCGCATTTGATCACGCTTGTTCCATCCGATCCGCCCCGTCCTCCCGAGAAACATAGTACCGGTAACCATTTCTTGGGGAAATGATCTGGCAGTCTGGGGAAGCCTGTCTATCTGGCCGGAGTTCTTCTCCTCTCGGCCGGTGCTGACATGCTGGCGAAAGGGACCAGATGCCCAGATAGATGCCCAGATGCCCAGTATGTGCTGCATGTCGCAATGTGATGCGGTGGCACAGACTACCGGTATACCACGGCGTCCTGGCAGCCTGACACTGAAGTGCTGTCGTGTCAGTGGTGGTTGTCGGAACTATCGTGTGTTCAACCCGAGATGGCGAATGCCAGATCTTGCGCAGGTCATGGTCAAGGTAGGACAATCTGTCAGGTTCCGAACCCAAATGTGCTGTGTTTGCGTGTTTGTGTGTTTGTTTGTGTTGCGTTCCAGGCCGTGATGGAACCTCGCCTAGCAAGCTGCAGGTTACGTACACAGTACCTAGGTACCTACCTAGGTAGGTAGGTACTACGGTAGTGTACTATGGTACTTAGGCACGTGTTAGGACCCCGTGGACAGGTTTGGTATACTGTACTTGTACCTCAAAATAGCCTTGGAGGTGCACTCAACGATTCCAAAGTTGCTGGAAAGAAGTAGTTTTCTGTGATAGCAGCTTCTCTCTCCAACACATGTTCTTGGTGGCTGTTATATATCACAGGACAAAATAACCTTGGAAGCGAACACAATGGTCCCTATCAGTGAGTCCGGAACCGCTACATCAAAACGATAGATGTGTACATATCTATGGGAAACTGCAAAAAGGACGGGTAATCCGGTATTGGATCGTATCAATGCCCACTGTAGGAATTGAACCTACGACTTCCTCATTACTAGTGAGGCGCTCTACCACTGAGCCAAGCGGGCTATTTGATTATTGAAAAGTGCAAATGTGTGCCGTCTCATAAGGTTTTGCTGTCAGTGGAGACGGTGACTCGAGTGTTGTTTTCGATGGGCCAGGGGCCTCAGGGGGCCTCAGGGGTCCCCTAACCCTAACCGTGGCACTCTGCCGCAACCCTGAGCCCTGAGCCCTGAGCCCTGAACCCTGGGCTCTGATGTACCCGTGGGGCCTGTCAACGGTCAAGTTTAAAATCGGGAATACTGTGCGTGAGGCGACTCCTTCGCGATACCATATCTCATCACACCACCACGCGGACTCATACCACACACTCATTTACCGGTACTGCGATAGCTCTGGCGTCATCAATCCTTTCCCGACGTGAAGTACGTCTGGAACAGTAAGGTGCAAGAGAGACCATCGAGACCCACGTTTCCACAGACCCCTCTTGATCTTGATGCTGCCCTCGCGCCTGGGGCCAGTCGCTCGCTCCTCGCGATTCGTCTACTACAGTCGGCAGCATCCAGACCAGACATCGTGCACTAGGGTACTACCGGGAGTGGGCAGAAGCAGCAGCAGCAGCGGTGCACGATGGGTTTCACACTATCGCCACCAACGTGGTTCCTCCGCTCTCGCCCTCGTATCCTTAACCCCTCCTGCTCTTTCTGGCCTTCCCCGGATGCATGGCCAAGCCCGGGGTAAGAAGACGAAGACGGTGGTCAGTCTCGATGATCTCCCACAGGGTGTCATCCGTGCGAATCCTCTGCTGCCACCCCTCGAGGAGGAACCGCCATCGTCCCCAGCCTACCCGACCGTGGTCTTACAGGCGCGTCGAAACATGCAGAAATTCGACAACTGCGTCCTGTTAACACGTGTTGGCGGCTTCTATGAGCTGTACTTTGAGCACGCGGAGGAATATGGCCCGCTCCTCAACCTCAAGGTTGCCAAGAAGAAGACTGCTGCCGGGCTTGTACCCATGGTAATTTCAGCCTCAGTCCCTAACCCCTCACTATTTGTTGTGTTCATTTCGCGCTCTCCCGCTGCCTTGTCATACGTTTCCGTCCCTGACTGGCCCCATGTCCTCGATTTCTGATGATTTTCCCCCACGGGACTTAGGCAGGGTTTCCATTTTTCCAACTAGACCGGTTCCTTAAGATCTTAGTTCAGGACCTTAATCGGTATGTTGCCATCGCCGAGGAGTTCCCAAACAATGCCCCCGAGAAGGCCAAATCGGGCGGGCTGCTGCATGATCGCAGGGTGGCACGCATCATCACCCCAGGTACACTCATCGATGAACAGTTCATGGACCCTTATGCCAACAACTATGTCATGGCCATCCACCTACCCGGAGACGCGGAGCCGGTCGCCCCGCCGCCTCAAGGTAGTTCCTCCGCAGGAGCCGACCTCAATACCGGATCTCCTGATGCCCCTGCAGGTGCCTCTGTCACCATCGGTCTGGCGTGGCTGGACCTGTCGACCGGTCACTTCTTCACGCAGGCCACCACGCTCTCGTCACTAGGCTCGATGCTCTCGCGTATCTGCCCGAGGGAGGTCGTACTGGATGAAGACTTCGAGTCACGAACAGGTCATGACATATTCTCCATCCTCGCAGAGGAGAGGCATCTCGTTACATATGCACCTCAAGGTGAGCTGACGGGTATTCCCGACTGGACACCGATGCTCGAGTCCGAGTTATCACCTCAGGACGCGGCAGCCTTCACCGATAATGAGGTCAAGGCTGGGAGCCTACTGCTACATTATGTTAAAGACCGTCTCCAGGGTGTCAGCATGAAACTGCAACCCCCGCTCCGTCACGAGACTATGCAGGTGATGAACATTGACAAAAATGGCATGCGATCTCTGGAGATAAAGCAGACCATACGGGACGGGCTGTTCCGAGGAAGTCTGCTTCACGCCATCAGGCGGACCGTGACCAAGAGCGGTGCCAGGCTGCTGAATGAATGGCTCAGCGCCCCTTCGACGTCCCTACAGGTTATAAGGTCTCGCCAAGATCTCGTAGCTTGCTTCATCGCCGAAGAACCACTTCGGGAAGGCATCACTCTATTATTGCGAAGAAGTCATGACTCCCAGAGGCTTGTACAGAAGTTTGCGCTCGGCCGGGGAGATCCCGATGATCTCCTTGACCTCGCGAGCACAATTAAAGCTACGGAGGACATTGTCACTATGCTCTTGGGAGCTTTTCCTACTGATGGTGCTGAATCGACCGCAGAGACAGATTGCCTCAAGGCGCTAACGAAGCGCATCAGCCTCGACAGCCCCCTGAAGCTCGCGCGGCGCATCCGTCAGGCCATAGACGAGGAAGGCATTGTCCAGCGACATCAGATCGAAGACAGCGAGGCCGGCAATATGATTGCTCTGGCCCAGGAGATCGTCGATGCGGAGGGCTCTGCCGAGGACTCATCATTACTTCCCAAATCCGCAAAGAAGCGCAAGCCCCCATCCATCCGCGACTTCTACGGCGAGGACAACGAGGTTTGGACCATGAAGCCCGACGCGAGCCCATACCTCGCGAACCTCCATGCCGAACTCGAGGCCCTCCTCGGCGAGAAAGAGGACCTCGCCGACACCCTCCGCCAGCGCCTCGGCGCGCCGTCCCTCACGCTGAAGTGGACCCCAGGCCTCGGCCACATCTGCTACATCAAGGGCAAGAAGGACCTCAAGTCCGCCAGCGTCAGCATCCCGGAGCACATCCCGGGGTCGCCGACGGGCCGGCAGACGCAGACGTCCCGCTCCTTCCACCTGCCGGAGTGGGCCGAGCTGGGCCGCCGGCTCGACCAGGCGCGCTGCCAGATCCGGGCCGAGGAGCAGCGCGTCTTCCAGGAGCTCAGGCAGCAGACGGTCCTCAACATCGTCAAGCTGCGGCGCAACGCGGGCGTGCTCGACGAGCTGGACATCGCCACGAGTTTCGCGCGCCTGGCCCTCGAGGGGAACCTCGTCAGGCCCATCGTCAATAACGGCACCGCGCACGTCATTGTGGGCGGGAGGCACCCCACCGTCGAGGGCGGGTTGAGGGAGGCCGGACGGTCCTTCACAGCCAACGACTGCTTCGTCGGCGCTGGGGGCAACCCCGCGTCGTCGCCATCCTCATCTTCATCCTCCTCCCTTGCCCCGTCGGCTGCGCACGCGCACGGCAGGGCCTGGCTTATCACGGGTCCCAACATGGCGGGCAAGTCGACCTTCCTCCGGCAGAACGCCCTGATCACCATCCTCGCGCAGATAGGCTGCTACGTGCCGGCCTCGTACGCCGAGATCGGCATCGTGGACGCCGTCTTCAGCCGCGTCGGCTCCGCCGACAACCTCTTCCAGGACCAGAGCACGTTCATGGTGGAGATGCTCGAGACGGCCACCATCCTCCGGCACGCGACCCCGCGCTCCTTCGTCATCATGGACGAGATCGGCCGGGGCACGACGCCCGAGGACGGCTGCGCCGTGGCCTTCGCCTGCCTGCACCACCTGGTCCACGTCAACAGGTGCAGGGTGCTCTTCGCGACGCACTTCCACGGCGTGGCGGACCTCGTGGACGAGCGCGGCATGAGGGTCGAGGACGGGGGCGAGGCGGGGCAGGTGGAGATGTACTGCACGGACGTCGCGGAGGACGGGACCGGTGGGTTCGCCTACGTGCACAGACTACGGAGGGGGATCAACCGCCGGAGCCACGCGCTCAAGGTCGCGAGGCTGGCGGGCTTGCCTGAGCAGGCGCTACGGACGGCGAGCGAGGTTCTGGTTCCGCAACAGGGCAGGGGGGCGGTACGGGTCACGGGATGATGATCACGGAACGAGACGAGATAGGGCAGGTTACAAAGGCGCAGGCTGCGGCTTGTGGGACGGAGATATTGTAAGAACATCTGTAAAAGTCTTGAGGCGAGTTAGCAAAAGATACCCCACTGCGTAAGATGTAACGAGATATTGTACAATATGCGTGAATGGGGAATTGTGTCTCATAAAGTGTTGATGGGCTGTCATCACAAAGATTCAGGGTTAAAAAGCTCTTGTAGTTTTTTTAATCATCGACACGGGGAAGGGAGTGAATGCTGCAAAGGCAGAAAAGAAGGGAAAAAGAGACTAACCTTTTAGTTGAGCAATACTGGACAGGTGCGTAGCGCAATGCCTGTCACGGTTGCAAGAGTGGCCAAAGGGCTGGGAGTAAATGATCCGTAGTTGTTGAACTACCTCGAGGGGGGTATTAAATCCCATAGAAAAACTCCCCAATCCGACGAACCACATGAACCCAATTTTCGTTAGTGTTTTGTTCCGCAAAATGACCGATGATTGAGATCCGGTTCCATCTTTTCAACGGTCCCGGATTCTCATCCACCCATCATTCGCTTCACCGTCACAACGACGTCGTCGTGGCCGGAGAGGACACGCTTAGTCGAAGAGACCACCGAAGCCCTCGTCGTCGGACTCCTCCTTCTCGCTCTCCTCCTTCTTCTCCTCAGCGGCGGCCGCACCACCGGAGGCGGCAGCGGCGCCAGCAGCGGGAGCGGCGGCGGCATAGGCATCGGGGTTGGCGATGCGGTCCTTGAGCTCGTCGATCTCGGGCCAAGAGTAGTCGGTCTCGATGGCGACAGCGAGGACCTTCTTGTAGCTGTTGACCAGGGAGTGGAGAACGGAGGGAAGGGTGGGGTAGTTGATGGCCAGGGAGACAGCGGCGATGGCGGTGACGGCGCTGCTGAAGGACTTGAGGAGCTGCTCCTCGCCGACGTCCAGGACCTCGGGGGGGAAGGTGTTGCCCTGGTCGTAGACCTGCTCGATACCCAGACCGTAGGTGAAGGGGGAGATGTTGAGCAGGTTGAGCAGGGTGGCCTCGGAGGGACCGACCTTGTTACCGGCCTCGATAAGCTTCAGGTCGGCGGTAATCTCGATGGTACCACGGGCAATCTTGGTAGGGACACCGAGGGCCTGGAAGAAGGAGGTCTTGCCGGGCTCCATACCGGTGTTGCCAGCGGGGACCCACACATCGGCGGGGGCGACGGCACCGGCACGGGCAGGGGCAGCGACCTTGTTG